AACAAGTGCCTTACTAGTAGTAACAGGTGCCTTTCTAGTAGTAACAAGTGCCTTACTAGTAGTAACAAGTGCCTTACTAGTAGTAACAGGTGCCTTACGAGTAGTAACAAGTGCCTTACTAGTAGTAACAAGTGCCTTACTAGTAGTAACAGGTGCCTTACTAGTAGTAACAAGTGCCTTACTAGTAGTAACAAGAAGCTATTAGTTTGGCTTTTTCCGCTCCCTGGCAGGTAGACATAGCTCTCGATACCTTTCCGTACTCCAACACTACAACCACATGTGAGTCGCTGTTGATGGGTGAGGCACTTAGTGTCATTGCTGTGACCCTGACGTGGCTCACGGATCAGCTGTGTTTTGAGTTTTCAAGAATTCCAAGCAATTGGGGAACTAGTTCACCAACTGACCAGAATGAATTGTTAGTTGAGTTAGTCACTTTGGAAGCGCGATCCCGGCATCGTTGCTCAAAGCCCGTTCAGGAGTACCTGCTGTCACGTTGGTTGGCAACACCCATGGCTCCAGAGCCAGGGTCTGAAGTGTCCACAAGCTACAGTTTTCAACAATTTCTGAAGGTTTGAACATCCAAATAGCATCGAAGTATGTTTGCTGATCCGGGCTCTTGATGCGTCCAGGTTTGCTACAGTTTGCTCAGCGCCATCGGAATCGGAGAGTTCGCAGCTCATTCACAGGCAGAGATCGCACCCTGCCGCAGATTTGAGCATTGATGGTCAACACAGAAGTGGCGATATGATGTGATGGGGTCCCCGGGCAAATGCACGATGCATGTAGATGCATGCCATGTTGCGTCCAATTCTGTGACTTTGCGTTTGGAAGTGCTTTAATTTGTTTTGAGAATGATCCTGGTGGTTTTGTGAAACCTACATTGGAGTGCATTCGGGACATGGCATTCAATCTGTCTTGTCTTGTTGTTGGAGTGGCCCCTTACCTGTCAGGAGGCCTATGTGACTAAGGTCAAGAGCTCAATCGTGTCTATCTATATAACTATATACATTATATAGACGATCCATACATGCTGAGACTCTGAGGTGAAAGGACTGTGTAGCAACTTGCAGACCCTTGCGTTGTTGCGAAAGAACATGCGCCAGGCATTCCTTTTTGATGTCATTGGATCGTTTTCGTCATCCCCACATGTCCAGTGCTTTTAGATGCTTTTATGGGTTTGCAGATAATGCTATCCTCACAACTTTGTGATGGGCCTGGCTTTGTCCGCGACAAGTATGAGCCTTGCTCTCAGCTTTTGAGCAGAGGCTATCCGAGTTCATTAGACACCTTCCTTGCACACAAGTCTCATCTCTTTGCGTCACTAGACTGTCATTGAATATGAAACAATGTCTTCTGACTGTTGATTCGATTGAATATGTTAATTCGGCACTCTGCTATCCAAGAGAAGGGCTCCTTTTCTAACTTTTCTGATGGTTCCTATGCACAGCTCGATGTGCCCTTTGCAAGGCACATCCTCCGAGAGAAGTGGATTGCATATTGTGATGGCCGCACACCATCACAGCAGGCGTCTTCAAAATGGTGTTGTCTTCTTCTTCTTCTTCTTCTCCTTCTTCTTCTTCTTCGTGTCTTTCAATATCAGCAGGAGGGATATTTGACAAGCTGTAGACATGCTTGTTAGACTCTGTTAGACCTTATATGACTAAACATATACTGTATATCTATCTATATATATATATATTGTTGCATGTTTCCAGGCACCTAGTAACAATGTTCAAACCTTCTATGATTGATGAAGAAACAAAGGTAATAACAGTGCTGTTGACCAGGTCTTCGCCGGCTCAACAACCCCGGAGCCTTTGGCGTATGGGCCCATGATTTTTTTGTGGAAAATTGAGCGGCTGTGAGTTGTGGCCCGACGATGTCCAGCTTTGGGTCCAACAAAAACATGCAAGGTCCATTAACAATTTGGGGCTTGCTATAGAAAGAATATAGAAACCAATGAGTCTAGATGATGAATGTTTAAACTGACTTGCAGATGATTGTTGAACCTAAATCTTTTGCGAAGAACTCCAAGTCAGGCCTAGGCCTTTCGCGCCGCCTTTGCAGCCAGGGCAACCCTTGGTGCAGAGCCCTGCGGGATCGCCTCTTGGCATCTCTTGGAATCCACGTCAAACGTGGCGGAGACAGGCTAGGGATTGGTGGTAATATATTCAAAGGGAGAGTCGCAACTGCATGCTAGCAAAGATGATGTCAAGACGTGCGCTTGTAGTGGGATTTAAAACGGCGAAACTCAAGGAATATCCTGGAGAGTTTTGCGCTCTTTTTGGGGTGGATCATGTGTGCTTCGAAACCGTCAATTGGGCAGCGGGACCTGCCCGGAATGGTTCGTCAAAGGAGTGAGGCATTCACAAGCTTCCTTTATCTTCCTTTAATGAAGCTGCCCAGAGGGGACCATAGGTTGGAGGCCATCGCTAGTAGGTTGGAGGCCAGCGCTTCTAGGTTGGAGGCCATCGCTATTAAGTTGGAGGCCATGGCTTCTGGGTTGGATGCCATCGCTTCTAGGTTGGATGGCCATTGCTATTAGGTTGGAGGCCATCACTTCTATGTTGGAGGCCATCGCTATTGGTTGGAGGCCATCGCTTCTGGGTTGGAGACCATCGCTACTAATTTAGACCTGCTGCTGTCAAACCTTCAAAGACCAGCTGCGCAACCGATTTCAACCATCGAGAATATACTTTTTGCATTTGTGTGTGCTTAAATGTCTGAACATCTTAGGACAGCCGCCCCTCAGGTCTGGCAGCCTACAACGCCTTTTTTGAACCTTCAGCTTTTGCAAACTTGATAGACCGAATACCTGAGATGAACCATCGCAGCTATTCCAGGCGATAATATCCACAAGCCAACCAATGCAACTTGGCCCTCAAGTTTGGCTGATCCACTGAGTGATGTTAGCGACTTGGGTCCTGATGCAGGTTGGGATCTACAGTCGTCTTGCTCTCAGGGGTTGATGGCCATGACAACTGACCCGATGGAAGTCATTAATAGTTTATATAGGTTTCCCTTTTGCGGCTTTCTAAAGGAATCGCTTCCCCTAGTTATAGTTCATTCAAGTTCTCTTCAAAGTCTCATGGCGCTAATTGGTCGAACAAGACGGTCCTATGGCTGATGGGGCCAAACTGGCTAAACAACGTGATTGGACCTTGAGGTGTTGCCAATGATGGCCGCAACCGCTGCAATGTCACCTCCTTAGATCAGTTGATGCAAGGTGAGCTTTCATCAAGTGCACTGCTTGTGAGGCCACCGCAGCAACTGGCTTTTTGCGTCTAAGACTCAGGGAGGAATGACATTGAGGCGTCTGAAGCTCCAATCCGCTGAGGCCACGGGAACTCCTGTGCTACAACAGGCTGTTATGACCGGAGTGAATGGAGTTCATGCTCTCAGTTGTTCGCCACACTGAGTATCAGTGCTTGTTTTCATGGTTGATTGAATGTGGATGAATGCATGAAGGAAGCCTTGACCAAATGTTATGTGGTACTGTTGCCCAAGGTGATCACTCATGATGTTCATCCCTCAGATCATCTCAGATTCTTCATTTCCGGCAGGGATCTTTGTCAGTTTTTTCTAGATTTTTGGCTTCGCCCCAAGGCCAGCCCCATGTCTCCGATCAGCCTGCGATCCACAGGCGAAGCTGTTTTTTGCCGAGCAAGGCACCAGAGAAACCAGATGAAAAAGAAGGACGCCACTGAAAAGTCTTGGAAGGTGTGTGTGTGTGTGAGACGTGCAGGTCAAATTATAGACTGTAGGTCAATGCCCATTGTAATTGTTCTATAAAGAGAGAAACAGAACAGGTGGCCATTAACGGCTTCCAGCATGTTCACTCTGCCAGCAATGTTCGACTGAATTCATCTGTTTTTGATTGCTTTCCATTGCTTTCCTGCTTGCAGCTTGGCCAGTGGCACAGCCAACAGCCTGTGTCTCAGCCATTGAGCTGATGCAAGCATGGCAGAACTTGGCTGAGCTGATCTGGTGCAGCATGGCTTTTCTTAAGGTCTTTACCACGAATTGCTCTCCGCTGCTGGTGGCAGGCCCATTCCTGGCGGAATGGAAGATATGGTGACTCCTTGGAGGTTTGGTCGGAGAGGTTCGTTTGTGAGTTCCATGTTCAAAGCTGCTGGTACCACAACACACTTAAACAATCTTAAATATGCATCCAAGGAGCCTGTTGCATTGAACGAGTTGGATGAATACTGCTTGGCATCCAGCAAAAGAATCTGTGTCCTTAAGCACAAGCGCAGGGACATACTTGGACCAAGCCACGCTTGTTGTAGGTTTGAAACGGCATGTGTTCAGCTTGGGTTCTTCACACCAACGTTGGTGTCGCAAATCTGGACTTGACCTCGAAACTACGAAGATCAACGGGCTGCTTGCCCTTCTTCAGGCGAATCCAACAACCGTCGGAAACAGAGGAACAATCGACTCCATCCAGGACGACGAGTGCCTCGGCTCGTGATTGGGCAGAGTGGAGATAGTGGAGAGAGTTGGCTGCCGGTCTTGTTTGCTGGTTCTTCCATGTTCTTGCCCTCTTCAAAAGCACAAATAACGTCAGCGGGCCTGGGTAGACAGCTTGACCTCCCGTTTGCTTAGCAAGAAATTCTGCCCCCGACCTCGATCGCCCTGAGGCTTAGACCGTACACTGAGCCTAGCTGCACGGCGCTGTGCAGCTGAGCTCCAGAGCACTTGCGGATTCAGCCGGCCAAATCAACAACTCTGTTGACAATTAAACGAGTTTAACACCATACGATCTCAAACAGTGTTTCTTCTACCAGTAGAATTGATTAAACATGGCTATGCAGCATATGCATTTGCACAGATATGGCTCGCATGCGAGTGTTGTGCATTGAGAAGCTGGTGGCTGAACACTCAAGTACATTTCAAGGTATTTTCAGAAAAGAAATGGAATGCTTACGCAACAAAACGCCCTCAGTTTTTGAGGGCTTAGCAGATCTTAGGGGTCCTGGCGACTGACTTTTACCCGTTTAGTTACCGTGTCAGGAATCCCGACGGAGGTCCCAGGCGACATCGCAGCTGCGACGCGAAGCTCGCCAGCTGTTGCGCGAGTCGCAAATGTGTACAGCGATGTTGCCGAGTTGCCTGTCCTCGCCAGAAACCAGTGTATTACATAATATTACTTAGTGTTTGCAATCTATACTGAATTTCAGTAAAGCAAACAAGGACTGACAGAATGTATATTGCAGATGTTTTGATGTGGAATTGGTAGGCGAAGAGATAAAAGAGACTGGCATCAATCTTTGCTCGAGCCTTCGAAGGAAAGCTTTGAAGACAAGCTCCAGATTTAAGGACTCACCTGAGTCTTCCTCCCTGAGGGTCCAGCAAGTCTGGCCAGCAAGTCTGGCTTCAAGATCATCCCATATGGTGTTGCGCGGCCGGCCCTCAGAAATACCTGGAATCTCTTTGAGAGAGGGGACTTTGGACCAGATGCCAGGACATGCACTTCAAGTGCAGATTTCCAAGCGGGCAACATGTCGAGGTCAACAAGGTCTCCTCATGTCTCTGGAACAGTTGAGACAGTTCGCATTCCCTGGCTGCGAAACCTCTGCTTTGAAAGCAAGAGGCACCCCTCACCCCGTATACTTGGTGATCTGGTTGTTAAGATAGTGGAATTGTTGGGTGGATGCCAGGTATTTTGAGCATTTTGTTTGACTCGTTAGAGTATGTTTAAGCAAAGGAAGCAGTGAGGGTGCGTGCGGACTCGCTTGAGAGAAGTCAAGTCACTCAGATGTTTTTCAAAGCGCAACGAGTGGCGGACGGAGGGTGGTAGCTTTGCAATCTTGTATGTCCGTGTCTTTGCATGGCCTGCCTCCTTCCTTCAAGTAGTCTAGAATATTAAGATATATTAAGAGCTGTGGAAAAAGGGAAGCCCCTTTAATAGAGCCTTTTTTTTCCCGAATGCGTAGCGAAGGGTTCTCGTTTAACTCTGGGGGTCTGGGGGTAGAGCCTTGTTCGCGACCCATTGTTTCTATGTTCGCAACCGTCCGCAGTAGGACGCTAAGGCGCTGCCATTGGGGGAAGCTTTGGAGAGGGTTTCGGATGAAAACGTGACATGTCAGATTCGTGTGAAGTAGCGAGGAATCGTGGAAATGTAAGATGTTGAAGTGTGCTGGAGGATTTCACTGCGCAGGCGCAGCGTTTTGTGATGTTTTGTGAGATCCGCAGTTTACTGCGCAGTTCCATTGGGATTAGCGTTTGGAGAGTCGTGTTTTTGGGGTGTTGGATGTGGCCGTGCCATTGGGATTTGCGCTTCAGGGTGTGGCATCGAAGCTCTGCTTTCGTGACAAGTCTCAGCTGAAGTGGCGATTTTGGTGGATGGGAGTGTGCTCAGAGCGGGTCGAAATCATTCCAAACGTGTGGTGTGGTGCAAATTTTTGTGTGAGCTCACATGAGATGATATTGTCACTTTTCGTGGCAGGCGCAGTACTTTGTGCGGATTTTGAAGTGTGGAAGTGCGATTTTCGTGGCAGGCGCAGGGAATCGTGAGGTTGCGAGGTGTGACGCAGGTGACATTTCGTGGCGCGAAACTGCTTGGCGGGGCTGCGTGATGTGTGTGCTCCGATGGGTGTTTCCGCTTGACTTTTGGAGGAAGTCTCGTACAAAATGCTCGTTTTGGAGACTTGACTCTGACACGTGACTTTGGAGGAAGTCTCGTACGAAACACTCGTTTTGGAGACTTGATGTGTGACTTTTGGAGGAAGTCTCGTACGAAACGTTTTGGAGACTTGACGCGTGACTTTTGGAGGAAGTCCCGCACGAAACGCTCGTCTTGCAGCCTCGAAGCGTGACTTTTGGAGGACGTCTCGTACGAAACGCTCGCAGGACTGCTTCCAGTGTGTGGGCAGACCGTGTGGCGACTCGACGTTCGTGATGTGGATTTGCGCAGCCTTGTTGGAAAGTGCGATTGCGTGGCGTCATGTGACACGTTTGCTTCTAGTGTCTGGGCAGACCGTGTGGCGACGCGACGTTCGTGATGTCGCAGTGCCATTGGGATTTGCGCGGCTTTGGTGGAAAGTGCGTTTACGTGGTGCCGTGCCACTGGGGAGCGCGAAACAAACGCTCGTTTTGGAGACTTGACGTGTGACTTTTGGAGGAAGTCTCGTACGAAACGCTGGTTTTGGAGACTTGACGGAGAGCACGCAAGGTGTGCGCAGTGAGGCGGTTTTGCTTGACGCGGTCATTGACACAGTGGCGCTTGACGACGCATCGACAAGCGCAAGGCTGCAGTTGTCAGCAGTAGTAGTAGTAGTACTAGTAGTACTAATAGTAGTAGTAGTCCACAAGAGTGCCCACAAGAGAGTCCCACAAGAGTTCCCTACAAGAGTGTCCCACAAGAGCGTCCTACAAGATTGTCCCACAAGAGTGTCCTAGAAGAGTACCCCACAAGAGTTTCCTACAAGAGTGTCCCACAAGAGTGTCCCACAAGAGTGTCCTACAAGAGTGTCTCACAAGAGTGTCCCACAAGAGTGGCCCACAAGAGTTCCCTACAAGAGTGTCCCACAAGAGCGTCCTACAAGAGTGTCCCACAAGATTGTCCTAGAAGAGTATTCTACAAGAGTTTCCTACAAGAGTGTCCCACAAGAGTGTCCCACAAGAGTGTCCTACAAGAGTGTCTCACAAGAGTGTCCCACAAGAGTGTCCCGTAAGAGTGTCCCACAAGAGTGTCCTGTAAGAGTGTTCCACAAGAGTGTCCTACAAGAGTGACCCACAAGAGTTTCCTACAAGAGTGTCACACAAGAGTGTCCCACAAGAGTGTCCCACAAGAGTGTCCTACAAGAGTGTCAAGAGTGTCCTATAAGAGTGTCCCGCAAGAGTGCCCCGCAAGAGTGTCCCACAAGAGTGTCCTACAAGTGTATCCCACAAAAGTTTCCTACAAGAGTGTCCCACGAGAGTGTCCCACAAGAGTGTCCCACAAGAGTGTCCCACAAGAGTGTCCTACAAGAGTGTCCCGTAAGAGTGTCCCACAAGAGTGTCCTGTAAGAGTGTTCCACAAGAGTGTCCTACAAGAGTGACCCACAAGAGTTTCCTACAAGAGTGTCACACAAGAGTGTCCCACAAGAGTGTCCCACAAGAGTGTCCTACAAGAGTGTC